ACTTTGGAGCACAATGTGTCACGAAAGATGGAGGTCATTGGACATAGTCCAGAGGACAACAGGAAGAATGATCAGAGGTGTAGAAAACACAGCGTATGACCCAAGTCTTTCAATCTTCATGTTTAGTTGTTTAGGCTAAAGAAGAAAAAACTGAAAGGAAATTCATAATAGCCGTCTAGTGTGTACAACTTTTCTGCAAAGGAGAAAAACATTCCTCATGTCCACTGGGAGCAGAGCAAAAAGTAGTAGGTTTAAATTACAACAAAGGAGATTTAGGTGAGACATTATGGAAAAAAGCCCTTTCCACTGTAAGGATAGTTAAGCACAAGAATTGCCTGGGGAGGTTATGAAGAGGTTAGACAAACATCTGTCAGAAATGATTTAGGTATAGCTAATCCTGCTGTGAGATAGTGTTGGACTAAATAACCTTTTGAGGTCCCTTCTAGCACTGTTTTCTGTGATTCTGTGATTAGGATACTATACTCACATTGCACACTGCAGTAACATGTTTCCGTACAGGGATGATATCACTGTATTCTGTGCTGCGTTCTTTGCTTTGTTTTTGCTTTAAGCTGATGGGCTGAACGATAGTCTGATGTTTAAAGCACTTTAGCTTTATTCTTCCTACCTTAAGAGCTTTGAGCAGGGCATTAGGAGCTTGTTTTCAGCCAGACAGCTCTGTTCTGGTTTTCCACTACCCAAGTGTCAATAAGGGGTTTTGGTACACAACCTAGAGTTAGTGACTTGTACTGTCATTAAACTTGCAGTCAAACCCTTATATGGGTGAATGCTGTTTCTACTTATAAGTAAAATGCAAACAGAAAAAATAAATAGCCATGAAGAGAAATGTATCATAGCTTTCCTGTTAAAGGAAAGCCAAAACATAAGCAGGCATGTTCTAAAGCTGAATATAACACAAGTTGTGAAACATCCTGGAACTAACAGATGGAGAATTATATTAAAGTACCATATATTGTCATTATTACCTCGTCACAGAGACCATTGAAGATGTCAGTTTAAGACTGTCCTTATCCTCTGTAACACTCAGAACTCTAACTTTGTTCTTCCATTTGGCATTCTGCCATCCATCAGGATTTATATTCAGCTTTGCATTCGGCAGAAGTGTGTTCGCAATATTGCCTCTGCATACTGAATATGGCTCCAGCACAGCTACACATCGGTGGGTTTTGTAAAACTCCATCTGGAGCAACAAGGAATAAGAAACTTCTAATTTTGAAGTAGTTTAGAAGAAATTTGTGATCCTTTGCTTGCAATGTTGACAGAGAGCGTGTCTGATTAGTGCCACTATTCCTGCAGAGACGTGGTTGTCACGGCATCTGAAACAGGGGCATACCATCACACCGCAGCAGTGACCCAAGCATGTGGTTTTCACAGCTGGGTCTGTTCCTGAACCCAACAGAGAAGATGGGACAGTTCTTGGCTTGCTGACTCTTTAGGAACATGAAGATTCATCATCACATATTTTCTATGGTGCAATCTCACAGCTTTTCACATTTATATGGTTAGCTGCCCATTCTTTCTCAAGGAATGAGCAGTTTCCATTTTCTTAGACAAGCACACCTTTTCACTAGGAAGGGGCAGGATGGGAGAAGGCAGTGCATGGCAAAGAGGTGAGCCAGAAGCTTCACCTGCAGATGTGGATCACATCTGTGGATCCTGTGGATGCACACAGTGATGGTCTTACACTGGTATGTTCTCTGCAGGCAGGTCCCTTAGGTGAGGGTTTCTGGCTTAGCATCTAAAAGAGAACATGTACTGTTAAATAAATTTACTTGCTGCTTACACATGGTCTTGTGAAGGTAGCCTGGTATTCATTTGATTTAAAAATTCAGAAGACAAGCTGAATTCATGTGACAAGAAAAATACTGAGGTTTTTTTTTACTGCACCACCTCATTTGCAGTCCTCAGAATTTCCCTAGTGAAGGGTTCTTTTGCAAATATATATATATATGTATATACACATGTACATACACACACCACAAGTGTGTGTGTTTTGTTTGGGGATACATTCAGTGCCATTCAGTTGATGCTGTATTATCTGAAAACACAGTCTATGTTCAGTGCCGAAGCTAAAATTGTATCACAGACTGTTTAAAAATACATGTTGTTTAACAATGACAAACACAGAATGTTCTGTTGCATCTTTCTGATAATAACTGAAGCTCATATGAAGAGACTTTAATAAAGGAAAGATCTTTTCAAATAAGAGCAGAATCACGGAATTGCTGGATGGATAAGATTGGAAGGGACCACAGTGGGTCATCTGGTCCAACCTCCCTGCACAACCAGGGTCATCCTGGAGCACATGGCTCAGGATTCTGTCCAGATAGTTCTTGAATATCTCCAGTGAGGGAGACTCCACAACCTCTCTGGGCTGGGCATTCCAGTGGGTGGCTACCAGCACAGTAAAGAAGTTCTTCCTCATATTCAGCTGGAACTTCCTCTACATCAGCTAGAGCAATTGTCCTATATTTTACTTGAGGAAAAGGAATTAAAATGGTAACCTTTGCTCCACTTTTAGAGGTAAATATTTTTGAGCTCATTCAAAGTAAGAGTTAGGAGTTCCAGATAGTGCTTGTTTCCTTTCTAGATGGCTACCAGCACAGTAAAGAAGTTCTTCCTCATATTCAGCTGGAACTTCCTCTACATCAGCTAGAGCAATTGTCCTATATTTTACTTGAGGAAAAGGAATTAAAATGGTAACCTTTGCTCCACTTTTAGAGGTAAATATTTTTGAGCTCATTCAAAGTAAGAGTTAGGAGTTCCAGATAGTGCTTGTTTCCTTTCTAGAGTTCATAAAATCATTAAGGATACTTTATCTTACTAAAAAGCAGTCATGCTCTTCCAGCCTTTCATGGCAGGATTTATTCAGTACTGTGAGGTGCTGCCCCATGAAAACCCAGGGCATTTGCAGGCAGGATAGCATGGACTCAGCCCCTGCAGGGTGGAGGGTGCCTGTGGGAGGGCATATACCCACGCTGAGGTGTGAGTGCTGCAGACAGGCTTTGGGGAGGGTTTGCCTCCCTGTGCCCAGCACATAAGGGATTGTTTGGGTTTCCATCCTCTACCCCCTTTGCCTTGTGCTGGCTGAGAGGGCCTGAGGAGCCCACACTCCTGCTCTCCATTCCCCAGCTCTCCCCAGCTCAGCATCTGGATCCAGAACTAAAAGCCAAGCAGTAGTTACAGCTTCATGGGCACAACTGTTTTGATACAGGTTGTCTGCTAGAGGCAGAGATAACGGTAGCTTTCAAGCCTAGTATGTTTGTTGAGGAGGGGACATGATACTGGGAGGAAGGGACCAAAAAATCAGTAGCAATTTAAAAATATAAATGTCTACCAGGATTCAAATTTCAGTCTTCAATTATTTCATCCACTGTGCTGTCTCTTCTCCTCTCCAGTGCTTTAGTAGTCATTAAATGAACTTGAACATGTTTGTATCGATAACTCTTTTTTACCAAAAGCTATTAATTTCTAAAACAATATAAATACAGGTATAATTGTGATGTCACATTGTCAGAAGCCATTTAAAATGCTTTTCAGAGACACAAATACATGTAAAGTGGTAAGTATGCCATAACTAATGGTATTATTAGTTTGATTTACTGCCAACCAGTCACCTTTACAAAAATCAATCCCTGAGCTCATAAAATATCTCCCTAAAACTGATACATTTTTACACTATCAATAATAAGAGAAAAGGTGAAGTTACAGGCTTATCTTTACTTTTCTGTGCGTTACTGGTTGAAAGGTATCTTACAGATTGCTGTGATATACAGGAGTGTGTGTATGAGCGAGAGATAGGTTATAGAAATCACAGGCTGTAAAAAGTTTTTTTAAAAAATGAAATCCCAGTGATCTTTAGACAATTCAGATGACATGTCTAACAAAGACTGTCAGTAGAATAAATGTGGCTATGTTAATATATTGAACCATTAACACGTGTCCTTATCATAATGGAACTCACACAATGGTAGCTCCTGTCAGATTCCACTTGATACATACAGCATGTTTGTCTGACACACAGAAAGACAACTATATTTCATTTCAGCTCTGAATTGACACTTCAATTTTAAATCACCCACCTTAGCTTAAACCTGAGCTTCTCTTTGATACTCGCTATTTGTCGTGTTTCTGTATGAGTGTACTGAAAAGATGTTACAGGCAATCTGCAGAGGTCTGTGTGTATGGTGCATTTGACCTCTGAACAAGAAAGGAGTTTCATCCTCCAGTGCTTTTAATTCTTATCCTTGCAGAGACTGAATTTGTTGCTTGCATTAAAATAGTATGTCTTGTTAATGCTAAGAAGCGGTGACCCACATAGCACAATGGATTCATTTGTCAATCCTGTGATTTTCAAGCTTTCTGTTCATATATGTCTTAGTAGTAAATCAACTCAGAAATCATTTAATCAGTCTGTCAATGCATCCTTCTTGTCACTGGTCTGAATCCTGAAAAGTCCAGTATTTCATTGGGCAGCACCAGACAAAATAGATTTGGACCTAGTACTAGGTTTTCAAACTTTGAAAACTGCAGCTCTCAAATTCACAACTCACACACACAAAAATCCTATGGAAAAAAAGCAAGATCTGGAAATTGTCTTGAATTTTGAAGATATTCATATTCGGATCTGGTTTTGAACTTCAGGGCGCAAACCTGTCCATGTCTGTTAGCATTTCAGAAATACCTTACATGCAGTTACAGAAAGCAGTGCCCTTTTGTTCCCTTTATTAAAAAAACAAGCTTTCATTGCTTTTTCTGCCATTCCCAAGGGCTGAGGCTAGAGCCTGAATAGTTTATAACAGTCAGTGTTATGCAAATGTCAATCATATCCTTACTCTGTTTATTTCCAGTATTTACATGTTTATTTAAGTACTTGCCATTTCTTTTAAGCCTTACATAGCCAATCAGGCCAACTGAGGTCTAAAGGAACAGAACACTTTATTAGTGATATGCTTAATACAGTTTTTTTCCTCTTGTAGATGCAAGATTTACGGAATACAGAAGGAGCCCAGTATAGTTCCCATCCTCAGATGGCAACCATGAGGCCAAGGGTTCAACCTGCAGATATTAGGCAGCCAGGAATGATGCAGCACGGGCAGCTGACTACTATTAACCAGTCCCAGCTCAGTGCACAGCTTGGTTTGAATATGGGTGGAAACAGTGTTCCTCACAACTCGCCCTCTCCACCTGGAAGCAAATCTGCAACTCCTTCACCATCCAGTTCAGTCCATGAAGATGAAGGAGAAGATAGCTCTAAGGTAGGCTTAGATGCTAGGATTACTATGTAAATGGTGGATATTTTTAGGACCTGCTAAATTAATCATATGGCCACAGTTATTAAGGTGATACTTTATACATTATTGGTGGTTGACTGAAGTGAATAAAGGGTTATGAATGCAGAACTTAAAATACCCAGTTAATTCTTCAGGCAGCTTGAGTAAATTACATCATTCCTCTTTGTGAGAGCAAACTGGAATCCTGTAAAACACTCCAAGGATAGTTATTCCTTTAGGACTTTAATATAAAGGTTGAATTTTCTCACTTGCATAGCAGGGATGTTTGTTCCCAGTTAAAGATCAAGTTACTGCTATAAAAAGTATGAACAGTCTGTGCAATATGCTAGTCTTTGCTACTTGGTCACAGGATGAGTAAACAGAACATCATAGCAACCGGAACAGAAAGATCCTATGAACTTTAAAAATCGTACCTTAAAAATCTAGAAGACCCATTATGCATTTATACTTTGAGAGGTGCTGACACTTCATCATGACATGTTTAAGCTTCATTTTAGTGTCAGGACAGGCATGAAGTGATAAGAGTAATTTTCATAATAAATTTCTTAAAAGGATAAATGTCAATCTGTATAGCAGGTTTTGCATGCAGAAATCTCCCAAAATCCTGGAAACCTCCCAAAAATGCACAAGTCTATTATCTGAATTTTGCAGACAGAAAAACTGAGACACAGAAAGACTGGGACTTAGCACAAAGGCACCCCTTAAACCAGGTATAGAGCATATTGAAATTTAGAACTTCTTTAGCTCTGTTTTATGGTCACTACAAAACAGCAGTCCTGTTAGAGCACTCCTGCAGTGTAGTGTGTACCGTGTAGTGTACCACAGGCATGTCTTGTGGGGAAAAGTTGCAGATTTGTGAGGAATGTGAAGAAAACATATTGTGAGTCACTGAGGAGGTATAATCCAGTCAAGAAATGTAAGTCTGATTTGTTTTCAAATTATATTGCTTTTCATGCCTCAAGCTATAAAATAATCATGTAATTGGAGACATATGTTTTACTACATTTTGAATAAATTCTGATTCGAAAGTCTTATTTCAGGACATTCCTCTGATTTCACAAACTTTAGGTTTTAAAAATTACTGAATAATTCATACATTTTAAATGAGCACTTCCTTACTGAGGGAGACTTTAGAATATAGCTATGTAAAAATAATTCCAGGCAGCCTTTACTTTTTCAGAATAATTTATTTGCTACTCCTGTTGCTTTGCTAATATTTTTACATATATTGGTGGGAGTGTGCAAGATGCTCTAAACTTCTGGAGAAAACATCTACTCAAATAATTGAGATTTCTTTCCTGCTTCTATCAAATATTTCCGTTATTTAACCCGTATTTTTCATGTGCTTTTTCACTGCTGCACTTTGTGCTACTAAAAGTGTAGGGTTGTGGTTTCATGCAAGCAGTAGTTATCTGCAGTTAACGTTTTCAATAAAGAAATACAAAGCTCTGCAGACTAAGTAAATCTTTGTCCTTTCTTTGTGGAAGTGAGTTTATATAGTGTTCAATTTTTTAACAAACCGTATTATTTTGGAAAACTCTTTTTAAAATTCTCTCAGGCTTGGTCTAAGCTGAAAAAGGTGACAAAAGACACAATGTGCAACACAAAATTAAACTCAGTATGTTGAACTAGATACACTGCCTTAAAATTCTTTAATTATAATTTCTCTGCTAAGAAAAAGGTTTTAGAGGATATTAAATTTGGTTAATAATGACAGAATTCTTCTCCAACTAGTCTGGTTTAAATGGCAAGCTTGATGGGGTGCAGATAATGCCATACATGTCTTCTGTGGGATTTCTTAGGGTTTCACGAAAACACCTGAGGATGGCCACCATTGGAGACAAGCAGTGGGCTGGCACACCTGATCCAATGCAGTGGTTCTGCTGTAGTTCCCTTTCTAAAAGACAAGAGGGTTTGAATAATCAGCCTAAGGAGTTAGTGTATTGTTGTCATTCACGATTTAAATCTCTCCACTGTGTTTCTGTCACATTGCTCTTCCTGGAAGCTGCCAGTGAATAGATATAGATACTCAGAATATACCAGGTTTTCGTGGAGATCTTTCTCTCCAGGCACAACAGTATTATATTTTCTCAGAGCTGCTTTGGAGGGGCCTGTGAAGGTTCTCACTCCAGAAATCATCTTCCCAGTGAAAGAAGGCACTGGATGGGGACAGGAAGAGAGAGAGAAGCGGTTCTGTTTCTTGTGAGAACCTTTATCTTTTACTTGACTATAACTTAGCTAAATTTGGAATTTTCTCTTTGATTGGTAAACTACCATGCAGATGTGTGGTATTACAGGGCTACAGCTCATTGGTCAGTCCTTCAGTAGAAGTGTCCATGTTGCAGTCATGTGGTAGCTGCTGGAGCTTGCTTCATGGAGTCAGAAAGATGTCCCTGCCAAGAGGACTACGTAAAAAACAACTCCCGCTGAAATCACTGTACTCTTAAGAGCAACAGTGACGTTCTCTATTTAACCAGCAAGAGAAGATGTTTGCCTACGTACCAACACTGATTAAAAAGATAAAGTACATTTTCACATGGAAAATCACATTGGTGTCAGGTGGCCTCCTGTAGTTTACACCAGCTGAAAGCCACCAGAGAACCCACTGATCTTTTGATAGCACATTTGTTAGAGTCCCTAACAACTATACCTATTTCTATCTAGAGGAAAAAAAAATCAAACAGATATCTCAATGTCCTGTTCATGTTTGCATGAATTTATAGGAAGAGGATGACATTAGATATAAACAAATATGTACAGAAAATACATTTGGACTAAAAGTATAATTGTATCCCTAGTGAACTACTGATTTCCACGTATGAAGAAAATGACCATTTCTATTTAATGTATATATTTCAAATGCCAGTAATAGGGAAACTTTACAAACTGATGTAATTGTTCATGTACCGAGCTTCACTGATGTTCATTCTATGATAAATATTCAAATTGCTGTAAGCCTTATTGAACATACACAGAACTAATGGCAGCAGTTGCTAAATATTTTTTGTCAAAACTCATTCTCATAAAGGCTCTTACATAAAGGCTGTTCAGACTTCAACTGTCATATATTTCCTTGCACAAAAAAAGGAAAGGGAGCTGCATTATAGAGAGCTCAGTTTTCCTACATGCTGTTGCTCTTAAGGCAGGACAGGTGAGGCAGCTTGACCATAAGATCAGTGAGAACAGTAGCATAATTTTAAGGGTGGATATACAGTCAGAAAGCTGCTGTGGCCGTGGAAATGAGAAATGTAGTCTCAGACCAAGAATGTCATCTCTGCAAGGAGTGTACATCACTAAGTCTCCTGAATTCTTCTAAATCTCCAATGCTGGACTATCATTAGAAGAAGAAAAAAGATATAACTTAAAAATCAATAGCTGTAAGCAACTGTAAAAACATTGCAAACAATGTGGCCACTTAGCACATGCTTTATTCTGGCCACCTCAACATTGGAATATCACATTTATGTAATTCTTGCCATAATTCATACTGTTGGATCGTTAAACATGTACTTGGTTATTGCCAAGCATAATTGTGAAGCTGCTGGAAGCATTACTGGTTTGTAAATAAGTATTTCTTCATAGATGGATAACAGGGTTTTCTTCCATGCTCATTTGCATATCACTTATGAAAGAAATTCAAATAATGTATTTTAGAGGTAAGATAGTGAGAAGACTGCAAGTAGCAAGAATTAAATAACAGAAACACAATTACTAAAAAACTGCTGCAGCATATTCTCTTTATGTGGCAGAGGTTTTACAATATTTACTTTATATGATAGGAGTTATAAGTAGAATTCTATGTTGTCTGTTCAGCCTATTAGGCAGATGGTGCTTGATTAAAATCTATTTTAAACTACAGCGATTACTGCAAGATAGTGTGCATAAAACAGCTCTCCTAGCTCCATTAAAGGCTTTGGTACTATTGCAGTTTATTTTAAATATGCTTATAGACATTTTCCAGCTTCTCCAGGGACATTTAGATATCAATGGTGTGCCTTACTTGATAGTTTTAAATCCTACACTAGATATTCTTGTCATCTATTATGTGTGCAACATGGTTAATGTACACTTTTTTAAAGTGAAAGATTATTGCTTTCTTGTGATAAATAAGTTAAATACATCACCATAATTAAGCAATAAGCCATGACAGGAGGTGGATTACCATGAGCTAACTACACCTCCAGGGATTTTGAGGCACAAGTCTATGCCTAGCAGAATATATATGGTTTTTATTTTATTTTCCATCTGTCTCTGCTTTGGTGGTTATAAGTGGAGTCTATGAAGCTGATAGACTGATGGGAGCATAAGGTAGGCCATCATCTCAGCCATTTGCAAGGTTATTAGTACTGAAATTCTGGTATTCTTTTTATTTCATTATTTTCATAGAAGACAAACAGAATTTCCCCTGTGAGTACTCTGTTTCTAACAGTGGGTTTTTGAAGTCTCTTGATCATTAAGGTTGGAGAATAAGGTTTTAGAGCTGTTTGCAGAACGACTTAGCAGAAGATGTCTTACACAAGTTTCTGTAGTATATCACTTAGTTTAAGGATAGTTGAAGTAATGTGGCATCCTAATATACAGAGAACTTTTAAATCTCATTGGTTCAAAAATACTCTGAAAAGAAGAAAACTGTAGCAAATCACAGAGGTAAAATTTTAACTATAGAACAAATTATTGTCAAGCCTCCTTGCTCATGGAGTTTGCAGAGGACTTCTGAATAGTCTAGACTGATGTCAAATTAACTAGGTAACCCTAGTTAATTATCCTTTAGCTGGTAGTTTTGTGTACTCTGTAGAGTGAAATAATAGCAACAGACTAAAAGCTGGATAACTTAATAGTGGGTAGCAAACTGCTTCTGTTTTTCCATGTTTTCCAAATGCTGCCAATAGGCTGCCTGTCCACTGATTTTGTATTAAAGATGCATCTATTATAGCATAATGTTCAGGAAACAAGCAGCTTCATTTTAAAATTGTAGTCATAATTTTGTTGCTGTTTTTTATAAGCCACAGAGGTCCAGGTTGTTAACGGTAGTCACTTGGGTTCTGTTGGATACCACATAGTGATTAATATAGAAAAGTAAAAAAGCTTTTTTTCTCAAACTGAGGATTTCTGGCCATTTTCCTCATGCAGTTCCACTGATTTGAACACCTATATTCTCCTTTGCCACTTGATATGCATTATTAAAAAATAGTAATACATGGAAGTGAAAGAAGTCATGCCTAGTAGATCCTTAGCCTAGAGCATACCTTTTATGCTCTTGATCTTCTCATACTTCAAAATGCTTATGATGCGCAGTACTTTGGTCATGCCAACAAAAGAAAAAAGCTTTTGAACCCACTTGTAACACCACAAAAGGTTTCTACAGGTCTAGTGAAATAAGTGATCATATCAAGGAAAGCTGCTTTGCCATGGAACTCCAATCTGTTGAAGAATCAGGACAATGTCCCATTATATGCTTGTAAGTTGTAGAATCATAGAATCGTTTAGGTTGAAAAGGCATTTCAGATCATTGTGGGCTACTGTTAACCTCATGCTTCCAAGTCCACCACTAAACCGTGTCCCCAAGTGCCACATATGTGCATCTTTTAAATACCTCCAGGGAAAGTGACTCCAACACTTCCCTGGGCAGCCTGATCTTGACAACCCTTGACAACCCAAAACTTGACAACCCTTTCGGTGATAAAATTTTTTCCTAATGTCCAATCTAAATCTCCCCTGGTGCAACATGAGGCCATTTCTTCTCACTCTATAGACTGTAACTTGGGTCAAGGGACCAACGCCCAGCATGCTGCAGCTTCCTTTCAGGCAGTTGTAGACGGCAATGCTTCCCCTGAGCCCCTTTTCTCCAGGCTAAACCACACTAGTTCCCTCAGCTGCTCCTCACAAGACTTGTGCTCTAGACCCTTCACCAGCTTCACTAGGAAAGTAGGGTGTTTTGGTGTTTACACAATGTCATGTGCAGTTTTGTTCAGGTGGTACATAAATAGTGCACATGAACTTTTCTGCATACAGCATTCCTCTTTCACTCCTTTCCTCAAACCATTTGCTTTTACATGAGTAGAAGTAAAAGCTATGTGGCTAAATCCAGGTAGATTGGAACTGGTCCTTTAAAGGGCTCTAAACTGTCTGTACTGGTAAAGCTTTGTTTCTTCAGACTTTAATTAGATGTGTAGTGAAATGTCTGAAACTTTAATTGTCTAATTCAGTCAGATTCTCTTCAAAATCCCTGGAAGGTGTGCCACCAGTTGCAGAAGAAATTGATTTGAACAGTAGTCTGGTGTCATTCTGGGGAAGCGTGAGGATAAGCAAATGGTAGAAATGACAGTGTTCCTACTGTCTGCAGGTGGCTCATGTGGTTCAACTGGTAGTCAGGCTTTAGAGAAACTATTGCACTTGAATTTTTTCATTACATGCCTGTTATAACCATTCACAATAAAACTTAGAAAAGGTGAAAAGATGACCAGATTAACTAGAAGTGAGATTCTAGAATTATATGGAAGCAAAATATAAAGTACTTTGAGAAAAAAAAATACATAATCTGGAATACTTGTAGGGAATTTTATACATGTGACTAAGGCAGAGAGTGTCAACATTTGGATTATCAAAGATGGCAACAAAAATTCCCTTTTGTATGCAAAATCCAAAATCTTTACATCATAGAGACTGTAACTAACAATGGAAAGACTGAATTAAATAAGCTTTTTTTTATAGTACTTTTCTAATTTTATGTTACAGGTCAATGGTGGCGAGAAGAGACCTGCTTCAGATATGGGAAAGAAACCCAAAACTCCCAAAAAGAAGAAGAAGAAGGACCCAAATGAGCCACAGAAGCCTGTGTCTGCCTATGCATTATTCTTTCGAGACACTCAAGCAGCCATCAAGGGCCAAAACCCCAATGCTACTTTTGGTGAAGTCTCTAAAATTGTAGCTTCAATGTGGGACGGCTTAGGAGAAGAACAAAAACAGGTACAATATGTGCTGTAACTCAGAGGCTTTGTTTCAGGAAAGTGTTATCAGGGTCATCGAAGCACTGTGGGCAACTTCTTTTGTTTGCTAGGATGAAACTTGACTATGTGCCATCTCAGGAATATGTTTAAGAGACTGAGATAAGGAGACTGTCATTTAATTTCTTCTGTATGAAACCACTAAAAGAGATTTCTTAGTTTTGGGGTGTGACAGGAGCTTTAGGATTATATTTAGGATTGTTTTATGCCAAAATTGGTGGGCCTACTATTTTATGACAGCATTGTCCTGTATATGCCAGTGTGGTGTAAGAGGACCTTGCTGTCAAAGCTGAGATCTGTGCAGTGGGACCTGACATATATCTGAGCTCCCAGTTGCAGATATTTCCCTGCTCCATGATCCCACAGTGCCAGAAGGGAAGCAGGGCTCACCTTTTCTCCCAAACCACCTGGCTTTTATGAAAGAAAGCAATGATGTGTTGACCCAAAGAGACCTAGGGTGGACCCTGCCAAATGGACAGTGTTCTGGTGTATTCCCTAGCATACATGCAGATTGTAGAAATCACATCCCATAGCTTCTTACATCTTCCACAGAAAGGCATTGGTTCTGCAATGAAATCAGCAATGCTGGACCTGAACCTTTGCAGAAATCCTTGCAAGACAGTTGAATGCTGTGTAAAAGTGGGGAAGTCTGAAAGCTCATCATGTCCTTGTGGTGAAAGCTGGCAAAAACCATTCATCCTCACTGTAGCATACCATTGCTTTTACATTCTTATTGGCTACATTTTTACTAATTGCCAGCAGAATGGATTGGATTGACAAAGGAAAGGGAACTTTAAGAAAGAAACAGGTATGGAAGGAAAGGGTACACTGGGTGAGAGTTCTGTTGGCTGCAGGTGGCCTGGGTGGAGGTTGGTGTCAGCACAGAGCCTGGAAAAGTACTGGGACTAAACTGAATCTCATTCATACACACATTATTATTAGCAAATTATAGTTCATAAGGATAAGAATTAAAATGAAAATTTTCCTATGATTTTTTTGGTAGGTAAAATCATTTGGGCTTGGAAAAAAGTTTACTTTGCTAATAACCAGATGGTGTAGGTACATCTAGATCCCTGTTAAAGATAGCAGTGTAACAAGAATCAAGATTTGGCACTCACTGACTAACTGAAAAAAAAAAAGCTCATTCTCTCTAGTATCCACCACTGAACAAGGCCAGTATTTGGAAGGTTTAGCTGGAAAGGTAACATTCTTCACACAGGGATCAAAGAAGTCACTTGGCCTGGCACATTAGAGTTATTTTGTTGTGTTGTGTTGTCTCTTTCTTCTCCCTTTTTGCATATGTTCAGCAAAGGCAAAGGTTACCTAGATGCTGTCTGTTTACACCTTCCCAGTACAGCAGTTACTTTTTGGGACCATGGTGATGGTTGTTCACTTTTGACTCAGAAAAAATAAAGACTACACTTCTGGTTAAGTTCACAAACGAGAGGTTTTGGTGGCATTCCTCCCTGTTCTGTATACTTTCCAGACAGAAGTAGAAGTAGACAAAAAGGTGCAGACTGCCCAAAGGTGCAAGAAGCAGCTTGGCTGTCCCTGCTGTGTTTGGCTAGGACCTCCGGCCAGAGCTGAAAAACTAAAGATTATGATATCTTGCTTAAATCAGTTCCTACTCCAAAGAAAGGTCTGTGCCCAGAATCACTCACCATCTTGGAATTACCTCAGGATTGCTCTAAGTAGTCAGATCAGCATCTTGGACCTGTGGGACTGTGGATCAGAATTTTCCTGAAACAGTGAAAAGCAGAGACCTGGACTTCTCAGGACTCTGTCTGTCTATTTAATTTACATCTCTCTAGTGATGACACCAAGCAAAAATTAATTTAGCCAAATCCTGTGCTTAGTTTTCTCCACCATTTTTCAAAATGACCCTTCATTTGTGGCAATTGCAGTGGTGCAGTTTTTCCTTCCATAGTATTTGCTTTACTTAGAGTTCAGAAAATTTGACTTCATGAATAGTAGTCCAAGACCATATAATGGAGACAAACCAAAAAGACTGTAAAATGCACATTTCCTTTGAGCTTGTCATGTGAGTACTACCACCAGAAAATTGAAGTCTTTCCATAGAATTCTGTTTAAAAAAAGTGCATAAAACCCTAAATTTCCAGCTTTAACTTGGATTTCCTATTCGTGGTTGAAAGCAATAATTGAATAAGTCTTATGATGGAACAGCAGAACAAAATTTATTTTTCTTATCTCAGTTGTTCTTAATTTGAGTTGAAACACAGCAGAATGATGCGTTATGGAATCCACATGACACATCCGGGAGAAAATGGTTGCAACTAGGTTTTAAGCCAATTATTCCAAGAGTTTGGGTTAGCATATTTTTGTTGCTCTGTGACTCATTTTGCCTATTCATTATCATCTATTAAGCACGTTGTAAAAACTCCAGGCCCAGACCCTTTCTAATCTAGCACTGTACAAAAAAAATAAAATATAGTCCCTATTTTACAAAAATGGCAATCCTATTTTATAAAATAAATTTAAGCTAATTTTTTATTCCATTATGGATCTAATATTACAAAGTAGTGATTACAAGATATCTTAACTGACTGTATTTAAAGGCCTACTTTTTTAGAGCAAGAGTAGCTGTTATAAAACCTATGTCTCTGGTAGGAAAATGGGACTCTAAAAATACAAATGATTGATGTAGCATTTGGTATTTGGCATTGAAGAAGCATCAGAAATGCAAAAATAGTTAAATAAAGAAACAATAACATCATTAGAGGACTACTTTATTGATGAATTATACTTGCTGAAAAGGATTCAATTATCATAAAGCTTCTGGCTTTTATGTTTTGGAAGCTAATGCTTATTCTGGAATTTAAATAGAAGTATGTTTCCAAATTATGTTTCCTGAATTGGAACTCCTTTTACTATTTAAATAGTAAATATAAATGAATCAGAAAGTAGAGCATAATGTAGCTATTGAGAAAGAAGAATAGCCTCATGTTTTCATGCTAAAATGAAATCTTATTTGTTCCTGCGGCCTGAGCCAGTTTTTTTCTGAAGTGCATAGAATTCGTCTTGTTTATTCCTGAAGACTGACTACAGAATAAACAAAGGTATAGAAACTCAGTACAGTAAAGACCTAAGGGCAGTGTATGTATGTCCAAGCCTTTTCAACAAAATTTTGATAACCTGACATGTTAGACTGGAGCTTGAAAAGCTTTGTGCAAGAACCACATATGGTTTTCAAATTGTGAAGAAACAGGAAAATGTTGTTTGAGAAAATAGGATTTTAATGACAAAAAAGGAAGTATTACTATGAGCTAGATAATGGTGAGTGCCTTACTGAAGTTGGGGGAGAGTGATGCTTGAAATAGATTGCACTCTGATACTCTTACCATGAGAATATTGCAATTTATTAGATTAAGGCAGATACCAGTGTACTTCTACTCTCATTTTGCCATATGAAGACATTTGTTTTTTTGAGCCATGTGCTATAACTGTTCCCATTAATTGCTGTGTGTAAAAGAGCCATTTGCAAAGAATGCTGGTGTGTGCCTGTGTTTTGTTTGTCCAAACTGATCTGCACAGAGAAGTCTAGAAATTAACGGGACTTTAGTGGTCATGGTGGACTTTGTCATGGTTTCTTCTCAAATTCTGTGTCAAGTACAATAATTACACGTGATCAGAAGAGGAGACTGTGAATTTTCCTTAATTTTTCACTGTGAATGTTTTCTAAAATAGTTCCGATTAATAAACTTGTGAGTGGAAAGCAGCAGCTGTAGCAGTTATATTTTGAGGTACATTCTCCTTTGTTTTGTAGCCCTAGTACAGGGGTATTTTCAAGTACTTTTCCAGTTCCTCTCTATGATCACAAACAGTTTTCTCCTTAGTCACTGCTAGTCTTCTGCACATCCCATTTTTATAGGTTATTTATGCACATCTTTGCCCTCTGCACACATTTTTACTGCAAAGGGGAGATAAACAGACCCCAGGAAAGAGGATTCAACATGCTAAATGTTTGAGTCTCTGGCTTTCAGACAGAACACCCGTTTAAACTGGGTAAAAAGGCTACTTAGGTCATTTTCTGTCCTTAGATGAAAAAGGAAAGTCATTTTAAATCAGTACCAGATGTGCGTGTACTAAATGAACCTTAAGTTTCTAATTGGAGTCCTAGTAAAGCTGAAATAGATGTGGCAAATTACAAACAAAATGTTCTTGTTTACATTAGTGTAACTTTAAAACTTCAGCCAAAGACCTTAATAAATGTCCTGTTATTCTAAAAATGGAATTGAATGTCTAGTCAACATTCAACAAAATTAATCTCTGGTGTAATTTCAGTGACTTAACTGGAATTCTAGCAGGAATTAATTTGGCCTCCTGTGAACAACTCAGTGTGCATACATGTGTATGTGTATGTGTTTCTGTGTGTTTACCTAAGTGGTTCACTGGCCTTACAGCTGGAAGAAGGATGTCTTCACCTAGGGCACCCAAAACAATGTGAAGAAGCAGGTGAAATAGCTGTCAGAGTGCTTTAGCAGATGCCATCTTTCAGGCTCCATAATTCATACACAGTAATATTAGCTGCAACAGTTCAGCTCAATAGCAACACCTCATTATTTTATCCCTCAGTATTTATTCCTATGTTTGACGCCTCATGAAATTACTGTTAATGTGTTTATATAAGGGCAGATCTGACACAAGTGGGAAGAATTTAATTTCCCACTCATTCTTTCCTGCTGCTGTGTCCTCTTCCCCTGGTAGAAGTGGCAAGTGTAAATAGTTAATTTGCTTCAATTATGAGCCTGTCCTGCTAAATTAGAAGTAGCAGGAATATGAAGAGCCAGAATTATACATATGAGGCAGCTGACAAATCCTCGGAGCTCACAAAATCAAATCATTTACTCCTCATTGGTGCTCAAAGACCCACTAGATAAAAGCTGCAGTTTATTCTTTAGCATCTGATGGAACTTGAATTGTATGTTACCAATACTTATGTAA